AATACTCACAGTCAACTATGTCCTTCACCAACTGAAATTTAGTGAGTTTTGATCAGAATACGTACAGGCAAACCGAGCTCCAGCTGTGTGATGATCATCTTGCGAAATAAGAGTCATGGCCAAATTATAAGAGTTTGTATGGGAATGTTTACGATGGCTCTTAGGAACAAAAAAAGAAAGTCAAAATCTCTTTAAAAAAAACCTCACCCTACTTTCACAGTGCATCGCTTGTTATCTGACCGCTTACTATGTTGAAAAGAACCCATTTTAGCAAGTTATCCATTTCTAGGTTTACTTAGGCTTCTGTTATGAGTAATTGTACAGTAGTTGTATTGTGCAATCCATGCAGATACTAATATAGCTTGATTTTTTTTTACTCTGAGATGCACTACTGTAAACAAACTTACATGTAGCACTTATTGGTATCAATTCTTGCTCCTACACCAATTCAGAGCAAGCTATAAGCAAAGATGAACATTTGCATCCCTTGAGCAAACGTATTCAAACATAGTAGTGAAAAATAAGTTTTGCACCATATTTGCCTGGTTTTGCACTCCAAGGCAAACTACTATTTTTTGCAAAGAGGGTAAAGTTTTCGCAAACTCACGTCGTTATTAAAAAATTGCCCTATGTGCAAGGATTAAGTAAATAAAGAGCACACTGTCGCATTTACTTTACATTTGCGTACCAACACCGTAAGAACAAATCAGCATATTTATATATTGTTTTGCAAATGCGGTGCAAATTTTGATCACTAAATTTGCTACATATTTGCTCACTTGGCAAACCCGAGTAAATCCATTTTTTCGAGCAGGGGATGAGCTAAAAGTGAAAAGACTCGAGAATGATGTCCAACTCCTAAAGGAGAGAGCGGAGGGTCAAGGGAAACAAATGACTAGACTTTCACGTGAGGTTTTTGGGAGAGGGATGGCCACGGAAATAATTCCAGCAGAGGAAGGTAACTAAATCATGCAAACACTCAAGTTAAGCTAAACAAGATATATATACAGTCAAACCTATATTAAGCGGTCACAGGGAATGACGGGGTTGGCGCTTAATACAGGTTAACTGCTAAATACATAGGTATGAGTATGATAAAACCCTAGGAAAAACGCCATTTTATGCCACAACTGACAAATAATTGTGAAAGTACTATTAACATTGATTTTGGGAGATTAACATGGACTGAATTTTACTTGAAAGATTATCGTTAGTTAGTGGAGGATTTTCTGGGGGGAACACATGGTTTTTATGGGGGATCAGTCGTTACCAACAGGATATAAAAAATTGGGTACTGTAGAAAATTGTCTGCCATTTTGTTGCCACCAAGGAGAGGGGGGTCATAAGGATACAAAGGAGCTTGGCGGGAGGGGGGGTATCAGGTAAACTTTTTCGTGTCACAACCAAATTCCTTCAACGAAAGAAAAACTGAGATTCGTTAAAACTATTTATAACCGAATTGAAACAGATCAGGCCTTTCGAGATTTCATTCCTTACATGCTCGCAAATATCTGTGCTTTACTGACTTTCCTTACAAAGGCTTTTCAGAGACAATGTTTTTAGACATTCTAGCCTTGTAATATATCAAATGAGATATGTACATGTACGCGGATAATTTGATGATTAAATTAATAAAAGCGAGAGTAGATTATACCAAGAGATTGTGAACAGCTTGTATTCTCGTGATTATACCTCGACCGCACGCGGAAAGCTTGCGAGGAGCGCTACAGTTTATTTCCTAAAGTTTTTCCATCTTCAACCTGCTCCCACGGTAAACTGTTAAACATCCAAAAAGTTTCTAAACACCTAAATACATTTGTACTCTAAAATGACATTTTTAGGAAAAACATTTTATTTCTTTGTTTTTTTTAGTTTCAGTAGAAAAGCCACGGGGCATTGACGAATATAAACGGATTTTTATCAAAATGTACGTGGAAAGTCTACAGTTTGAGACGAAAAGTTTAATGTCTGAAGCATCTGACAGCGGTATAGGAACTGAAGGAGCACCATCTGAATTTGACGTGGATATCGATGGTCAGTATCGAAAAGTCAAAATTACCAAGCTTAGTTTCCGTGATGATAATGATAATAATAATAATAATAATAATAATAATAATAATAAAACTTTATTTAAACGCGATAAGTATAGGAAATCGTATGAACGCGAGTGCATTTCGTGATTTATGGGCACGAGTGATGTTTTGAAAGTTCTCAAAATTGCACGAGCCGTAGGCGAGTGCAATTTGAGAACTTTCAAAACATCACGAGTGACCATAAATCACGAAATGCACGAGCAGGTTCATACGATTTTCTATTTATTATATTCTCGACAAAATTACTCCATCGCGCTACTCTGCACGCCTTACGAGTACAAAAAACACTTCAAAGGGTTCCAAAATGCTCACATGTTTTATTTGAACCAATCAAAAATGTAATGTTGTGACAGGTAAATCAAGCGTGAAGTTCTTGAAAGTTTCTCAGAAATATTACAAGCCGAACTGTCAGCCATTTTTTTATAATTTGGTGTTCAAATTTGGCGCTTCCCCGGTGTTTCCATGGCAACTTCTCCGTATTGCACTCTATAACCTCTATTGCACTCTATAACCTATTTATGCATTCATCATTGACCAATCAGAAACGCGATATTTTGTTGAGTATATAATAAGTATTTAAAGCGAGAGGTTTGTGGGGTCGTGTTACAATAATAACATAAAAATATTAATATATAATAGCATTTATAAATTTATTTAAAAATATGAAAAATATGTTCAACTCCTTTTAAATAATACAGCAATATATCTCAGACACTGCTGAGCAGTCACTCTGGATCCAACAAACACCACCAAACCAATAGTTTATTGATTTCTATTGATATTTATCGAATTCAAAACGACTGCCCAATAGTGATGGTTAAGTCAATCAATCCAATGCGATATTTAAATGTCATATCAAGATTGACTCAACCATGTCTCAAGAATACATATACATTTCATTATATTTTGGTTTACATCGATCAGTCAAACGATCAAAATTGAAATGTAAGAAATCACGTGACTTAGTTAAAAGTTTACAGAAATGCTTTATACTCTTAGAATCTATGTACATAGCTATCATTCTGCGCTTGTTTAGTTTCTGATCTTGTTGTGATGACAGCAAAAAAAACCGTTATCATTCTTCGTGAAATGCTGGAAACCGTGTTTGAAATGTTCTGTATAGAAGATGAACTTATTCTTTGAATGCCGCAGAACCCTCAAACAAAAGAAGTTATCTTTCAAATCGGCACTCTTAGTCCCAGGTTATCAACGAACACTTTTCGTTCAACTTATCTATTCTAGTTACCATGTTCCCACCAAAAGCGTTGATCCATTTTCTGCATAGAAACCACAATTCCACACAGGAGCCACAATTCCTTCATTCGCTCTGACGAAGGGCTAACGCTCGAAACGTCAGCTTTGAAACCCTTAATGATGGCCGATTTACGTTAAACTTATCAACTCAGTTGATAATACCAAATTACCTTGCTAAGTATTATTATTATTACTAGTAATAACCAAAGGTTAGGAAATGCGGGCGAGGACGATGCATTTTTGGCTATTTGGTTAATGAAAGATTTAGTCCATGAGGACACCCCCCATGCTCCAATCGCTTTTTCCTCTATTTTGACACTAACAATAGGGTAATTTTAATAAACCTGTGAAACAGTTACCAACACTAGATCATTCCACGAGACACTAGTCCCATTGTTTTGTTTTGCTTAGTTTTAGTAATATGCTGTAATTGTTGTTGTTTCATGGTGTAAAGAAAATCACTGTAGGTTATAAAATACGCGTATTGATCGAGTCAAAATGATTGATGTAATGCAACAATTATTTATTTATGACTGAAACGAAACGACCAATATATGAAGAAATTTCAGATTATTCCAAAATATAATATATAAACGATCCCGTTCCAAGGACTGAAGGAAGAAGAACGCTCTCGCTCCACGCTTCTATGAGATCAAAGACAACAATCTCAGACTATACGCTTGTCAGGTCAAGGACGAACAATACCGACGCTCCACGCTTGAATTTAAGGACGAACAGATACAACTCTCTCTCTACGCTTGAGGTCAAGGACTAACAGACGAACAACACTCTCGCTACTCGCCTGAGGCGGAATGCAGCCGAGAAATGGCATCCAACGCGACATGAACGGAAACGTCGAATCCAGATATCGACACGCTTGATTTGGATTGGTCGGCGCTGCTGCTATGCGTTAGCTTCACGTGTTCCAAGGTCCAAATTACACATGATGCGCGTGAGAAAATAGCGTTCTTTGCATTCCATACATTCTTAGTGGTAGACTCACTATTTGAGCAAAAATCGAATCAGGGCCAAACTACACACCTGCCCGCATGCGTTTATAAAAGCAACGTTGAGATTAGGATTGCTTGCTCCTCTTGTCACCCGCAGTTATTATTATTATTATTATTATTATTATTATTAATATTATTATCATCATTGTTATTATTATTATTATTATTACCATCATCATTATTATTATTATTATTATTATTATTATTATTATGCCGAATAGAGCCGCTCAATTTGCGAAGCGAGCAAGCTGTGAGATACGATACCTTGAATTATATAACTAAAAAATGGAATGGAAGAACGGTGGATCGGCATAATGACGGAATATCCTAAAACGCGGAATGCCGTTTTGTATGAAGAAAAATGTCTCAAAAAATGGAATCGCAATTAAATAATAAGAAGCATAAGTAACATTGTTGGGGCTCAGAGGATAGGGGAACCATAAGGATTTTGAGCGAACCCCAGCAAAACTGTATTCTTTCGTCATTATTCAACCTCTAATTCTTTCCAATGCTCTAAGAATTGTTCTATATCAGAAGCCAAATGCAATCTTTGACTGTCTATTTTTATATATTAAGTATAAACGTTCTTATTATTACAAAATACGGAGAGGTATGTCTCTTCTGCTGTGAAATTTTTTTTCATTTATCTTTTTTTTCAGATAAACGTGAAACTCAGACGATAGCAGGCGACGATTGGAACTCACTGTCATCAGCTGTGCAGACTGGCAACTTTGCCATCATCGAGGATATGTTGTCACGTAGCCTGGATATCAACACAAAAAATAACGGTGGTAATACGGCCTTAATTTTAGCTGCTTTGACTGGCAAAAGAGATACCGTAAATTACCTCTTAGACAAAGGGGCTGATCCCTTTATTGTAGGCCACTCTGGCATTACTCCACTGCACGCCGCATCAATGAATGATAATGTCACCATCATCGAGACACTAATGTCACGTGGTCTAGATGTTGATTCAAAAGATAGTAAAGGAAGGACACCATTGATGTTGGCTGCAGCTTGTGGCAAGATTGAAGCTGTAAATTATCTTTTAGACAAAGGAGCCGACCCCTGTATTGGAGAACAGTTAGGAAGAAATTCACTACACGCCGCTTCAGAAGGTGGTAATGTCATCATCATCGAGAAACTAATGTCACGTGGTCTGGATGTCGATTCAAAAGATAGTGAAGGAAGGACACCATTGATGATGGCTGCAGCTTTTGGCAAGATTGAAGCTGTAAATTATCTTTTAGACAAGGGAGCCGATCCCTATATTAGAACCCAGTCAGGAGGAACTTGTCTGCACGACGCTTCACAGGGTGGTAATGTCACCATCATCGAGACACTAATGTCACGTGGTCTAGATGTCGATTCAAAAGATAGTAAAGGAAGGACGCCATTGATGTTGGCTGCAGCTTGTGGCAAGATTGAAGCTGTAAATTATCTTTTAGACAAAGGAGTCGATCCCTGTATTGGAGAACAGTTAGGAAGAAATTCACTACACGCCGCTTCAGAAGGTGGTAATGTCACCATCATCGAGAAACTAATGTCACGTGGTCTAGATATCGATTCAAAAGATAGTGAAGGAAAGACACCATTGATGATGGCTGCAGCTTTTGGCAAGATTGAAGCTGTAAATTATCTTTTAGACAAGGGAGCCGATCCCTATATTAGAACCCAGCCAGGAGGAACTTGTCTGCACGACGCTTCACAGGGTGGTAATGTCACCATCATCGAGAAACTAATGTCACGTGGTCTAGATGTCGATTCAAAAGATAGTGAAGGGAGTACACCATTGATGTTGGCTGCAGTTTGTGGCAAGATTGAAGCTGTAAATTATCTTTTAGACAAAGGAGCCGATCCTTGTATTAGAGACCAGTCAGGAGTAACTTCCCTGCACGCCGCTTCACAGGGTGGTAATGTCACCATCATCGAGAAACTAATGTCACGTGGTCTAGATGTCGATTCAAAAGATAGTGAAGGAAGTACACCATTGATGTTGGCTGCAGCTTGTGGCAAGATTGAAGCTGTAAATTATCTTTTAGACAAAGGAGCCGATCCCTCTATTAGAGACCAGTTAGGAAGAAATTCACTACATGATGCTTCACAGGGTGGTAATGTCACCATCATCGAGAAACTAATGTCACGTGGTCTAGATGTCGATTCAAAAGATAGTGAAGGGAGTACACCATTGATGTGGGCTGCAGCTTGTGGCAAGATTGAAGCTGTAAATTATCTTTTAGACAAAGGAGCCGATCCCTCTATTAGAGACCAGTCAGGAAGAAATTTACTACACGCCGCTTCACAGGGTGGTAATGTTGCCATCATCGAGGAACTAATGTCACGTGGTCTAGAGATCGATCTAAAAGATAATAGAGAAAAGACACCATTGATGTTGGCTGCAGTTTGTGGCAAGATTGAAGCTGTAAATTATCTTTTAGACAAAGGAGCCGATCCCTGTATTAGAGACCAGTCAGGAAGAAATTTACTACACGCCGCTTCACAGGGTGGTAATGTTGCCATCATCGAGAAACTAATGTCACGTGGTCTAGAGATCGATCTAAAAGATAATAGAGAAAAGACACCATTGATGTTGGCCGCAGCTTGTGGCAAGATTGAAGCTGTAAATTATCTTTTAGACAAAGGAGCCGATCCCTCTATTAGAGACCAGTCAGGAAGAAATTCACTGCACGCCGCTTCAATGTACGGTAATGTTGCCATCATCACAAAAATGCTGTCACTTGGTTTGGATGTTAATTCAAAAGATTTTGCAGGTCGCACACCGTTAAAAATCGCAAAAAAATATGGCAAAACTGAGGCCGTAACCTTCCTACTTAACAAGGGAGGACATTAGTTTTTATTTCTTACTGCTCCTTTTAAAAACTTCGTTCAGGTCCGTAGTCGCGAAAAGAAACGATTGATAAATTTTACAATATTGATAAAGACTGGATAATAATTAATTCATAATACCGCGAGAGAAGGAACAAATCTTGGAAGGCCTATCGATTCCCTTTTTGATTGTATAAAATAGATCACCTGCACACGATGTTATCACAAATTTAACATAGCTTTACACCCTAACATCAGTATTCATATTCTCCATACTGTTCTTGATACATTTCCTTAGGTGCTAACAAGGAGAATTAGCTGAACGATCAAGAGCTTCTGTAGTTGTTGATCATTTGCGTTATTCTCATGACCTTAATATGTGATTTAAGGGTGATATTGTAAGGAGAAATTAGATGCTAGTCACTCTAATGGGGTTAAAGGGTCAAGTTCAGATTTTTCGCCCTTCAGGCTTCTGTCATCAAGTTGTAGTTTATTTCATTCAATCATAAGTTAACTCAAATGTAGAGCTTTAACCCTTTTACTCCCAAGATCTCATCAGTAATTCTCCTTCCTGTCTGTCATACAACTCTTTTGATGTTAATTTTGAGAATTTGGTATTGGATCAATCAATATTTCATTTGTTGATATTTTTCTTTATTCTCATCACTTGTCTGCTTGATATTGTATTAATGCTGTAAGGAGAAATTCTGTCTTGGTTACTTATGGGAGTTAGAGGGTTAAAGATGTCCCATCGAGGAATCAAGAGCTCTTTCAAAAACCCTTTAACCTGGTACTCTGGAACTTTGTATCATAGTTGTTTTATGATTTTTAATAAGATGCGTATTATAAGATAAGAACTGCTGTACACAGTTATTTGTTATCACCAAACTCAATGTAGAATAGTGTGTTTGGATGTTTTAACATTCCCATATAATTCAGTTATATACTCGTTATGCATTTCTAAACTTAAGCCTAAAGTATCAGTATTTCTAAGAGATATGCAGATGATGTGGCATTCTTTTCTTATATTCCAAAGTGGAACTTGTGTTAAGTTTTAGACTAACAGGCCATTACATTAGTCATTAAGGCTATTATATCATTGGAACTATACTCTATATATTTTTATCGTTATACATTGTTGGAACTTTGGAGTGACATTAACCATATGCTTTGATCATCCAGATGGAAGAAGTCCAAAATATTGACAGTGACAATGGCTTTGGTTTCAAAGACATGAAAAGAAGTTATCACCACAATCAAATGAGAAATTTTAAGTTCAATTCTGGTCCTTGAAAAGTGACAACTGTTATTTGGATGATCAAACCACATGGCTGAATGTTCTCCTTGGTTAGATGTTTTTTAGCGTGTTTTTTTTTAGTGTTGTCTCATGATACGGCTGGAGACTCTTCAGTTATGAGACACTGTTTTATTTTGCAATGAATTGGTAACTTTGAAAATGTAGTAGATTAAAAACAGAACATTTAAATTGATTTTTATTTCAGTAAATAACTTAGTAAATGGCCTAGTTCGATAAATGTTAGAGGTAAAAACTGCATCTGCTACCTTACTTCTCGTCCGAGCCCTTTCCCCAACCCCCTCCCTCCACCTTCCCTCACCCCCTTCCCCCCTTCCCTCACCCCTTCCCCCCCCCATTCGTCCTTATCTCGTGGGGAACTTATTCTTGATCCTAAAATGTGCAAGGAAGTTTTTCATAATGATCAAATGGTCCTCTCACTTGAAGACAATTGTTTAATCTTTGCAATCTTTTATTTGTCACAAAACCGCCTTTTTAGTTTTACAGCACAACGGGAGATAATGAAAGAATGGAATTATTTTCAAAACAAGATAAGGCGATGACCTCGTTCAGGAGAAGGCGGCTATTCTTTTCAATGAATAAATGGGGGTACCTCTTTATAAGAAACTGTGGAGCAGCGCTGGTGGGAGAGTATAACAGGGTAATCAAGTACTATTATCTGAGTTGATGACGTAAATTAGCCACCGTAAAGAGTAAAAAAGCTGACGTTTCGAGCGTTAGCCCTTCTTCAATAGCTCTGACGAAGGGCTAACGCTCGAAACGTTAGCTTTCAAACTCATTACGGTGGCCAATTTACGTTATCAACTCAGTTGGTAATACTTAGTTACCCTATTCTATCAGATGGTTTATCGATAACAGGGCACCTTGATACGTAATCACGAAAAAACTAACCAAAGGAAAGAGCTGTCTTGCGTATTCGCCTCCATCTTATTGTTCTATAAACAACAACTTCAGCAGTTTGGTATCGTCTCAAGAAGGAGATTTTTGCCGGCTAAAAGAGTGCGCTGTGTTCGGAAGAAGACCAAGTTGGCATAGGAGACGCTTTGTGATGTTGGAAGATAAGCTATACTGTTATGAGAAAGAGGGAAGAAGTGCTGGTGCTCTCCGAGATCATAATGATGTCCAGTGTCACGTCTTTGACTATTCAGAACTCCATGTGCATTAAGATTTCCCAAGTTGATGGGAGTATTAGAATGTTGAGATTTTCGTCTGCAGAAGTCAGAAACGCTTGGCTCACGGCCTTATTGACAGCTAAGGCAGTCAATTTACTGAAGTACCAGTAATAGTTTTAGAGGCATCCCTACTTCAGTAAATAATCTAAACATTCAAGCATGTAATTAGTCAAGTTTGATTCTTTACAGGTGTAAATATACTCTAAGACTTCTGATGAGGTTTTAAACAATATTGATATCATAATTATGACTAGGAATTTTTTTAAATCTCTAAGGGAAAAATATTAAAAATTTCTGAGTCCCAAGGCAAGGTTAAAACAGTATTTATTTAGTCGTTCAAGGAAAACAAATATAAATTCCCATGAAATTGTTGCGCTTATTTTCGTACAGCCCTTTTCATTAAAGTGACCTTTGAGATAATTAATCGTAGAGCATGATTACTTTCAATACTCAATCTTTTAAGAGGGAAATAAGTACCTTTTACTGTCAGACTAATAGATTTGTATAAAAGTATTTTTAATGCAACTTTAACTTTAGGAAAAGTCCAGAGGAATTGGGGTTATTCATGAAAAATTTAATCTTCTTTCGACCATAAAATCCCTTCGATTGCAATGACCCAATAAGTTAAGCTTTAAAAATGTATCTGTAGGTCGCGAACTCAGGATATTATTCCTGTAAATAGTTTCATCTCGTTGAAAATGCGCAGTTCAAACATAAAAATTTGACTGAGGAATACGAGATGGGTGGCATGTTTACATTGCACCTCTTTAGCTCGTCCGCCACACTGACCGGAAGATGAGGTCAAATTAAATGAGTTGTTTTGAACAACACTTCGGCTACTAAAAATACATTTTATTAGAGTTTTTCTATAACCACAAATATCAGAGGAGTTTTCTGTTTATCTTAACCCTTTAACTCCCAAGATCTGATTTTCAATTCTCCCCTCTAGCTGCTACACATCTCCTTTTCAATCAGTTAAAGAATTTGGTGTTAGATCAATAATAACAACTTCTACATGATAAGTTTTAATATTCTCATTAATTACATGATGTATGGATATTATAGGGAGAGGTTACCTCCCAATCACTTCTGGGAGTTAAAGGGTTAACCATTTCCTCTCTACATTTCTCAAACAGTGATTTTCTTTGCTGATTGACATACATATGTTGACTCTGAGAATTGGGGAGTTGATCAGACAACATCCCTTTTCTTTATTCTCGTCACCAATCTGCTTGCCTTTGTATTGATATCGTGAGGGCAGGGAATAATGAATTGGTCAGCAGTCCTGGTGAAGGGATTAACACTCTACAATGAAGATTATCAAGAATACGCTTGGCATTTAGTGATGACAGAGAGGAAAAAAATTTCATTTTGGCACGTCAGTTGAACAAATCTGAACAGATTTTAGATGGAAAAATCAAGGAACATGTATTTTCAGACGTATTAAAATCGAACTTGTTCTCAAAAATTCATCCTGTAATAAGACATTGAAAACATGATAGCGAGTGACAATTTTAGGTATACTGCTTTGTGCGTGAACTGTAGTTTGTGTTACGTCACACACGTGAAAATGTGAGTGGTTACCACGCACAAAAAAGACTTTTATCACTATGCCGTTACAAGAAACCCACCAAAGTCCAAAGATGAAAAAGCTCTGCTCGGGACATCACTTATACGAAGTCATGCCTGAGCGTAAACGAAGTACGTGTTCGTTTCTACTCTATTTTGCGGGTCAAAAATGCTAAATATGGCCTTTATTACAAGCACAACATTGAGGGAGCTCGGATTTCGTAATCGGAAATCTACCCGAGACAACCCCCCTATGACGGATTTCGCATTACGCTCTTCCGCCATGTTGTAAATTTACATGAAATGCCAAAACCGAACTGCGCTCGATCGAAATGCTAGTATTTTAGATGCAAAGCAACGACAGCTAAAATGTCTTACGTACAATATAATCAACTTCTTTTTGAGATCAGCCAACGACTCGATCTACTGAACCAACATGGACAGTTACTCTTCATGTGTAGAGGATGTGTGGCGTCAAGACCTGAAGACATTCCCGATGCACTTTCGCTCTTTCGAGAGCTAGAGGATCGAAATAAATTGGCCATTGATCGCGTTGAGCTATGGAAAGAGCTGCTAAAAGCGGTCGGAGAATGGCCGTTGTTTGATAAAGTGAGAAAGTTTGAGGAGAAAAGGAAAGAATATCAAGAATTGCTTGAACAGATCAGCCGCGCTCTCGACGAAAGCAATCAACTGCAGCAGCTCATTGCTGTCTGCACCGAGAGGGTAACGTTGGAGGATAATGAAAGAAACTCTCAAACTGCTCGAATTTTGTTTGAAAAACTTGAAGGCCGAGAACTTTTTGAGTTTGGTCGTCTTAAGTTCTTGAAAGAGATTTTATCGAGAATTCAGAGGCGAGATCTGGTGAAGGAAGTTCAAGATTTCGAGACGCGACGAATTGATGAAGATGAATTTGAAAGAAGGAAAGGTAACGATTATTTAGTTCTCTGTAATTTTTATTTTGCCGCATTTTTTGCGGGAAAGTATCTAAGAGTCTTCGCTCAAATAATGTCCATCGAGTGAGCATAATATGCCATATATTGATCAGAACTCAACATTTAAATCCAATTCTGTCTGGTTATTGTAATTCTTCTGCCTAATTTGTCATTGAAACTTGCAATTTAAGCGTATGCCGGTAGCATTGTTGCAGGAGCCAGAGTTGTTGGTGGAAGAGCAATCGGAGGTGAGTTAAAATTGGTGGGATTTAAGTGTTGAGCATGAGTAGGGAAGAGTTTCAAACACCGTAAACAAACCAAAGATCGGAAGCACTCTAAACTAATTAATGCATACTGACGATTTACTATAAAACTATTTTACGGAGATATGAGAAAGTGTGGGTATCTTGCGTACTAGTTAACATGCTCGTGTCGGTGCGTTATATGGTCGAAGTTGCTTCCAATTTCTTCGATGAATCCGAGTCGTGCCCCCAAACTTCGCCAGCGAGGAAATTGTCAATACGATTAAGTTATAATTTAAGGTTTTTTCTGGAGCGTCCATCGGTAAACAGTAGATGTTTATTGCCTACCTTAAAGTTAGGTGTGATGTGAAAGAAGCATTTTACTTATATAGATGTTTTTCTTCTGGTGCAAAGTTGTTGTGAGACGGTTATAATCCAGTAAGTTTATTTCCTCGCTTCCGATTGGTCCATGCGGATCACCTGGCTGAAATGCTCGCTGAAAGCTGAAGAATACCATTCGAGCGAGATTTCCAAGATTGTACAGTCATATTCCTCAAAAATGTAACCCTAGGTAAACCAAATTCGGATAGTCTGCTTCTTAGAAAACATAGAAAGACAGATTTGCAATTTGCAATTTGCATAGGACTGCGATTAATTTGGTTTAACCGTGTGATCACGTTGTCTGGAACGGTATGTTTTCTCGTCAACCGCAAAAATGAAAAAGTCAGCAGATTCAAACAATGCAAAACAAAATCCCTCGATGTTGGACCGTCATAGTCACGTACCTCTCACGGTTCTTTTCCAACTTGTTTACAATGATCTTCGCCAGACTACCACCAAAAATGATTTTAAATATCAACATTCAAAATTTAATTTAGTGCTATTTTTTAGTACTGAACATGAAGACAGTGTGTCGAGTGGCAGCAGCGGGATTAACCTTACTCTCCGTCCGTGCGATTTTGAAAGGGTGGTCAACTTATGATCAGTTAGTCACCGGCTTCCAGAATTGTGTGCTTCCTGCTGGTTCAAGATTGATTGAAGTGGGTACAGGGTGCGTATGCTTTACAATTCAGGCCGACAATCTCATGGGGCTCACTGCTTTGTGGAACATGTACGAGGATGGTGGGCTCAAGAAACGTCTATTCGATTTTTTTGTGACTGATGAGATGAAGACCCGTGCCGGTGGTGAAGAGAATGTGGAATTGACTGTGACGATTGAAAAAGAAGAATACGAGAAAGCTTACTTAGAGCTTGTTCAAGAAGCTGACGGTGAGTAATTTTATCTGAAGGTGTAGCGAACTGAATTTGAAGAACGCAGAAGGATATTAATTAAAACAAAGGCGTTTGTTGATATATGTTTAAAATAAAAAACACTGGGGATGTTTTTATTCTGCATCTTTTATACGCTCGCAGGCCGATCTCCTCCGGGGTCATTGCTTCAGTAGCAAGTTGAAATAAAATACTAGTGTATAGATGTTTTTGTCAAATTCTGCTTTATCAATTAACTGTAATAGGTGATAGGTTATTCAGTAACAAAGGAAGACATATTTCTTGGACTAGTGAATTGTTATAATTATCCTCTTTTAAGCTGAAGGAGTGAGCAATCTACGCACTTGCAACCTCCTTTATTTTGATTTGCCAACTTGGGTTAGTCAGTCTCATTGGCTTATTATATTTCCCGCTTAATTTGGTTTGGTTGTTTACTGTAGGAATTTAGCCGTTCAATAACAAGAAAAATAAGTTTAATCGCACAGCTTTGCTGCTGCTTCAACCAAATCAAGTTATGAACAAAGGCTGTTTTAAGTAAATCAGATAAATAAATCTATTTTATAGGTCACGCAATTAACTGTGGAGTAGAATCATTGCCTCGTTAGACTCGACGTTATCGTTGCTGCGAATTTTTCACTTTTCATTTCCGAAGCATTACCATTAAGGGAGTTAAACTTTGACAGCCCATTCTATTTTCGGTATTCAGGTTAATATTAAAAAATATTCACTGAAATATCGGACACGAAATATGGAAGAGAATTCATTTCCTTTACTAAATTGCAAACCATGGCGTCCAAATTTGTAATGAACTTCTTTGGCGGATCTACGGTTGTTCGGGTGGTTCGGCCGAACCTTATAAACTGGGAAAAAAAACGTCAAAACACTTGCAGTTTTCAGTTCACGCAAACCTTATTTTGGATATCTTGGGAAAATTTTACTTGTTGATCCCATTTAAGAATTTTCCGAGAGATGCATCCTGGCCGCTCTTGGATGGTCCTCCTTCGGTGGACATTAGGATGCTAGCGATGTCCTCGTTTAGTATTAAAGATAATAGCATCTCTCTGGTCTCTGGCACTTGATTTTGTATGATGTCGAAATAAGAGGCGATTCAAATACTCACTGTCAACTTTGTCTTTTACTGAAATTTTAGTGAGTTTTGATTAGAATACACACAGGCAGCCCAAGTTCCAGCTGTGAGATGATCATCTTGCGAAATAAGAGTCATGGCCAAATTATAATAGTTTGTAGAGGAATATATTTACGACTGCTCTCAGGAATAAAAACGATACCGTCAAATTCTCAATAAAAATACCTCACCTTACTTCAACAGTGCATCGCTTGTTATCTGACCGCTTACTGCACAATGTCGCATTTACATGACATTTGCGCACTAACACCGTTGGAAAAAATCAGCATATTTATATATATTTTTGGAAATGTGGTGCAAATTTAGATCACTAAATTTGCTGCATAATTGCTCACTTGGCAAACCCGAGTAAGTCCATTTTTTCGTGTAGGGGAGGGGCTAACCCTCGAAACTTCAACTAAGAAACTCACGGTAGCCTGCAAATTGTCTATTGTTAGGTCCTGCGAAGGTGCCAGGAAGAAAATGTGAAGACCCCGATTCAGTGATATCAACAACGCCGAACGAGGATGAAACATTGCAAGTAAAAGTGAAAAGACTAGAGAATGATGTCCAACTTCTAAAGGAGAGAGCGGAGAGTCAAGAGAAACAAATGACTAGACTTTCACGTGAGTTTTTTGAGACAAGGATTACCACGGAAATAATTCCAGCTTTGGAAGGTAACTAAATCATGCAAACACTCAAGTTAAGCTTAACAAGATATATATACAGTCAAACCTATATTAAGCGGTCACCCACGGGGAATGACGGGGTTGGCGCTAAATACAAGTTAACTGCTAGATACATAGGTATTGGTGTGATAAAAATCGAGGAAAAACGCCACTTTATGCCATAACAGACAAATTATTTTGAAAAAACGTACTCAAAAGTACTATTAACATTGATTTTGGGAGATTAACATGGACTGAATTTTTACTTGAAAGATTATTCTTAATTAGTAGAGGATTTTCTGGGGGAACACATGGTTTTCATGGGGGATCAGTCGTTACCAACAGGATATAAAAGGGGGAGGGGACTGTAGAAAATTATCTGCCATTTTACTGCCACCAAGGGAAGGGGGGTCATAAGAATACAACAGAGCTTTTTTTCGTGTCACAACCAAATTCCTCCAACGAAAGAAAATCTGAGATTCGTTAGAAATGTTTACAACTGAATTGAAACAGATCAGGCCTTTCGAGATTTCATTCCTTACATGCTCGCAAATATCTGTGCTTTACTGACTTTCCTTACAAAGGCTTTTCAGAGACAATGCATTTAGACATTCTAGCCTTTTAATATATCAAATTAGATATGTACATGTGCGCGGAAAATTTGATGATTCAATTGATAAAAGCGAGAGTAGATTATACCAAGAGATTGTTTGTATTCTCTTGATTATACCTCGACCGCACGCGGAAAGCTTGCGAGGAGTGCCATAGTTTATTTCTTAAGTTTTTCTATCTTCAACCTGCTCCCACTGCAAACTGTTAAACATCCAAAAAGCTTCTCATCACATAAATGCATTCCTACTTTAAAATGACATTTTTAGGCAAAAACATGTTGTTTCTTTATGTTTTTTTTAGTTCAGAATGCCAGTTACGAAAGGCTCGCAGACAAGCCACGGGGTATTGACGAACACAAATGGAATTTTACCAAAATGTACGTGGAAAGCCTACAGTTTGAGACGAAAAGTTTAATGTCTGAAGCATCTGACAGCGGTATGGGAACTGAAGGAGCACCATCTGAATTTGACGTGGATATCGGTGGTCAGTATCGAAAAGTCAAAATTACCAAGCTTAGTTTCTTTGATAATAATAATAATAATAATAATAATAATAAATTTTTATTTAAACACGATAAGTATTTAAAGCCAGAGGTTTGTGGGGTCGTGTTACATTAATATAACGTAAAAAAATATTAATATATAATAACATTTATAAGTTTATTTAAAAATATGAAAAATATGTTCAACTCCTTTTAAATAATACAGCAATATATCTCGGACACTGCTAAGCAGTCACTCTGGATCCAACAAACACCACCAAACCAATAGTTTATTGATTTCTATTGATATTCATCGAATTCAAAACGACTGCCCAATAGTGATGGTTAAGTCAATCAATCCAATGCGATATTTAAATGTCATATCAAGATTGACTCAACCATGTCTCAAGAAACATGTACATTTCATTATATTTTGGTTTACATCGATCAGTCAAACGATCAAAATTGAAATATAAGAAATCACGTGACTGAGTTAAAAGTTTACAGAAATGCTTTATATTCTTAGAATCTATGTAAAAAGCTTTCATTCTGTTCTTGTTTAGTTTTTGATCTTGTTGTGATGACAGCAAAAAAAAACCGTTATCATTCTTCGTGAAATGCTGGAAACCGTGTTTGAAATGTTCTTTATAGAAGGTGAAACTTATTCTTTGAATGCCGCAGAACCCTCGAACAAAAAAAGTTATCTTTCAAATCGGCACTCTCAGTCCCAGGTTATCAACGAACACTTTTCGTTCAACTTATCTATACTAGTTGCCATGTTCCCACCAAAAGTGTTGCTCCCTTTTCTGCATAGAAGCACACACAGGAGCCACAATTCCTTCATTGGCTCTGACGAAGGGCTAACGCTCGAAACGTCAGCTTTGAAACCCTTAACGATGGCCAATTTACGTTAAACTTATCAACTCAGTTG